CCTTGGTCTGTTTTTCTTTTCCTTCTTCTTATACCCCTATCTTGCTTTCTTTTCTGTCTCTCTTTTTCTCTCCCTCTCTTCACCCCCCACTGCCCTTCTCTATCTCCCTTTAATGCTTAGTATATTCTTTAGGATCTCAGGAGAAAATGACCAATTTATTTTGAAAAGTCATTGTTTTACAAGTCATTTTCTCATAGTTCTACATTTTATTTAAAATAACTGCTTATATAGTGAAACAGTGCTTACCATGTTTTAGGAACTCTTCTGAGCATCCTGAAAATACTAACTGACTTGGTAAATACAGGTTCCTGTGAGTTGATGGTTATTGCCAGTCCTTTTAAGTTTTGTGTGAATTTGACAATTTTTGAAATAAAACAATTTAATTGAATCCCTGTGATAACCTTATGTGGTAAGTATTAATATTTCATTTAATGACAGATGAGGAAATTGATTCCCAGATAGTTTAAGTTCATGTCATGAAGCTGATGAGTAGAGACTGATTTAAAACTCAGCCGTTCTGGCTTTAGAACTGATCCTCTCAACTATGCTACTGTTCTTCTGAATAGACTCTTCCAGATGACCTATAGATTAAAGACAGTTTATTTTTGTACTCTCATAGATAATATTATATAGATAATTCATTTAAGATTCGTTGCTCTTTTAGTCTCTCTCAATACCCTGTTCTTTATGATGCTTACCAAAGTTTATGATTGCGGGTTTATTTGTAGGTTTCATGGTTTTACTTGCCTCATTGCCAGGCTATTGCTAAGAACAAGTGTGATGTCTCTCTTGTTCACTTTTTTATAACTAGCTTCTGGCGCAGGACCTGTGCCTAGTAGGTACTCACATATTTGTTGAATAAGTGAATGGAAAAATGACTAACTTTAAGAAAGTGTATTATTTACCACTGTTTCTTACAGTATATTTTAAAAGTTATAGTTTTTTAATGTCCTAGCACAAAAAATAAAAGTACAGATAATGATTTCAGGGACCAAGAGGTAAAATTGGTATTTAATATAAACAAAAGATTAGAAACAACTTTTATTTTCTATAGCTTCTCTAGGAACAAGTTGTTAAGTAATATTATCACCTAGATGAAGTATAATTTATTCAAGGCAGCAGAATTTTAGAAAACTGTTATATGCCATAAAATTAAGACAATAACTTATATTTCTGTAAGAGTTAATAATGATAACATAGTGATGGCTTTTCAGAATATATACTTGTGCCAGGCAATTTCTATGTTCTCTCATATATCCTTACATCAGCTCTGTGAATAAAATAGAGCAGATATTAGTCTCATTTTTTTCCCCCCAATTTTCACTAAACAATTTTATTTTATTTTTTTCCATTTATTTTTATTAGTTGGAGGCTAATTACTTTACAGCATTGCAGTGGTTTTTGTCATACATTGAAATGAATTAGCCATGGATTTACATGTATTCCCCATCCCGGTCCCCCCTCCCACCTCCCTCTCCACCCGATCCCTCTGGGTCTTCCCAGTGCACCAGGCCCGAGCACTTGTCTCATGCACCCAACCTGGGCTGGTGATCTGTTTCACCCTAGATA